TATTATTATCGTTATTATTATTGTTATTAGCTTTGTTTAATCCCACTTCAGGCAAAGGCTTCCTGCATACAGGGTGGGTGGTTGACTTATTACTAATTCTTACAATTATTGTAGTTTGGTGTGAACTATTCACTAGTCACTTTCAGTTCTTCTGTCTCTTTCTTTTCCAAGCTTTCTTAACACTGTACACTTACCATCACTTTTCATTTCTTTTTCTTAACTCATTTATCTTTTTACTTTATATTTGGAAGTAAAAAATTGTATATTTGTTTTACCTATGTCTAGCAGGTCTGGGTTCCTTCAGTGGTCATATGGGCAGTAGGTCGGTTGATTGGAGGCAGAAGTGTTTGGCTTGTTGCTGTTTATAAAACGTAATAATTCTATTATTACATGTAATTGAGTTTCCCTCATATGCTGAGTATTCTAATTCTTCAGACATTCACGGTTGTTTGGGCAAGGCTGCCTCTGCACTATTTACCTACAAAAGTATTTCGTGACAAACACATTAAATATTCAAATTTTCAGATCAGTATATGCGGTTACGTGCGATGAATATGAGGAGAGCATGTGCGGGAACATGTAGAGGTAGTTGCAGGAAATGCATAGAAGAATATGCTGTTGTCCATGCGGTAAACATGTTAGAAAACATGGGAAGATATATTATGGGGAAACATTTGAAGAACAGTGTTTGTCCGGAAATTGTAAGGAAATCTGCGGAAAACATATGGGTAGAATGGAAGACAAAATATAAGGAACTTGAGGGGAACATGAGGGGCAACATGCTAGGAAAGTTCTGGGAACATGCGAAAATCGTGGGGGAGGGGAGAGGTAACTTGCTGAGAATATGTGAATTCTTAGTTATGTTTCTAAAAGCAGTGTTCTACTAAATAAAACACTTTTAAATTTTTTTAAATACATTTTTCGAGATTTAGCTCTCTCAGTACCCTTCCGCAATAGTATGCGTGGGTTGTCAGAATCGAGTAAATCTTTCTATATGCGAAATGTATATAAAATTAAATTGTTTCGTCAATATGCCAGTCATTGTAGGCTAATAATGCTTTAACATACAAGTCAGAAGCAATATTCACTTTAAAAAATTCAAATTTTCCAAAACTGAAATGCTCGTATGGTCCAGCTAGTCCATTACATTCCGCCAATAAAATAAGTTTATTTTATTGGTAATGAAGTGGATTTCTTAATCAAGAAGTATAAACACTGTTGTTTATTTTAAACCGAATATTTCTTAACAGATGCTTAACTTTATAACATGCCATTAGTTACTAATCTCCCGTAATCTATGGTGATCAAAGGTGATCAGACACTATCTATGGTATATCAGAATTGTAGGTCACGCAGCCAGAGTCAACGGCTAAGTCTGGTTATCTCAATCCCCTGCCCATGAAACTTCTAGACAACTATGATGGAGTGCTCGGACTGCAAGGGCTCCATATTGTAAGTTAAGAAATTAAAAACATTTCCTGATTTAAGTAATCATTGTTTTGTCTGAAGCATATGGGTTACGTACGTCACTTTTAATTTATTGATAATTCTGGAAGTTTTGATACTCGATTTTTGGATATACGTACATTGAATGAAATCTGCTTACAAAGGTTTCCTAGAATTCTTCATTTCAAATAAGAAATAATGAAATAGTAATATTTATTAATTAATTTAAATATAATAGAGTAACATTTCACTATTTGTTATTACGCTAACGTCAATCTACCCACATTATTCTTTATTTCGTATCGTGCACGTGTACACCACGTTAAATAAATGAGTTTTCGGTGAAAAAATTAGCGTCTTTGCTGTTTTGTATTAAAGTCGTTTGTTGCACATTTGGTTGCATTACTATTTGTTCATACAGTATTTGATAACCAGAGTTCGGATTCTGGTGACCTAAAATGCCTTGAAAATGACCTATAAGACTTAAAATAAGGGTAAAATGACAAAAAAATTAAAAATAAGGGGAAAATAACCTCATTTTTTAAAAGTACTAAAAAATGTTTACTGATTCAATTAATTTTACAATTTTAAATAACATTTATTTTTATCAAATTATGGTTAATATAAACTCTTCGTTTCAGGAGAAAATGGGAACTCGGAATCTTCGAGCTGTCGGTTTTGAAAGGTCGTGTAAGTTACTGAAAATGCGTGTAATATCAGAGTTCATTGCTGTAGTGAATTTCATCATGAACTGATGATGCAATAAAAACTTTGTTTTAGTGAGTCATTGTAAATTTATGAAATATTAAAAAATACGAAAAGAGGAAAAATACATACATATGATAAAAGGTAAAAAATGACTTTAAAATGGCCAAAATTACAAAAATTGACCCCATAACTATACATTTCTATCATCTAATGTCATGGTAATGTCATGGTAAACATTCATTTATAAGTTAGGTACGCCTACGATGCACCAATGAAAAGAAGACATATCGAAAGCCCTGTTGATAACAACCTTTTTAAAATAAAAGGTTTTAATAATAAACCTAGTACAACTCTAGAATATTCCATTTTGAAAGTCTAATTATCTTTTCAATTATCCAACTTCGTTTCTAATATCTTCCAATTACAAATAATGGTTGAAGTTCTGCCATACAACCGAGGATTAAAAACAAATTACCAATTTACTAAGAAGCACTGTTAAAATGAAGCGTTGCGGATACGAAGGTCTCAACGTAAGGTGAATTTTTTTTCGCCATCTCGATCTAGATCCTTCAAAGATTCTAGAGGTATATTCTTCGTGTCAATATTTCCCTTCTTTCCATCGCAAAATACATAGGGAATGGTACTAAGTTGGCTGGAAACTGCAATAGGAGGTCGGATACGAAACGCTACTCAACACCCCACTCCCTCCCACCGCTCTGCTTCACTGAATGATTCAATCGTTTCTGAGTGCATTCATTAGTTTCGTTTGTTTGATTGATTGAATGATTCCGGGCACGTCAACTACCAGGGTCATTAGTGTATGTTTTGCTGGGTGGTGGCTGTGATATTTGCCTCGCTGTATGGGTAGATCCGGCGCCAACCTACCGCCGGCTAGCGGGGTTTTTCTCAAAGAGGTATCTCCCACCAGAGGGACACCGCCGCACCAGGGACAAGCACTAAGCTCCCGACCTGTCTTCCGGCATGTGTGCGTGTAAGAGGGGAGAATAGGACAGGGCAGAGGAAGGGAAGATCGCGCCAGGTCCTCGGCCCGTTTTTTAGGGTACCTCTCCGGCATTCGCCTGGTGTTGGTGGTTAGGGTACCTTGCCGGCATTCGCCTGGAGAAACAAGGGGAAACTACAGATCAGAGCAGCCAACTTCTTGAATTCTCCTCCTGACAGCGTCCGAATTAAACATAGCTAACAAGCTAGTGTCGAAAATTCTGCACTCTGGGACATCGCGACTCGAAGTTGGGACCTCACGCTCAGAGGGACTATAGTGACATTAGTTGATGCCCTGAACCATATCTCCCGGTCGTTTAGTTAGTATTTATCATTGATTTATACTTAACTTATATAATTATTTGTATTGAACATTATACATAAATAATATTTTTTGAAGCGAATTTCAAACATATTCTTCAGTTTCCTTTCTTTGTAATTGACAGAGTACTGAGAATAAAAATGTAAATTGTGCATACCAATTAAGCCCGGGCAACGTCGGACACTTCTGTTGGCAAAATAATAATCCAAAAATGAGACATTCCACGACGAAAATACCTTGAATACCCTTTTTATTGCGTTCGCCCTTATGGAAAAATGTATAAAAGCCTTTATGGCGTTTTTCTGATAACCACGCTTTTAGTTCGCCTTATATGTAGAATTAATGAATCATTGACAAATTAGACCAGACGAACATACAAATTGGTTTTAAAATTAACCGTTTTAGTACAGAGGCGGTCACGGTTTGGCCGCTACGGCAATTGTATTACTGTTGTTGTCGCGGGCATGTCCACTCAATGTCTCAGACGCGATGAGCACTGGAGACGCTTCTAGAGTGCAAACGTTGTTACAGTACATCGAAAAATGAACAACAAAGAAAAGTATGTCACATAACTAGTTTTATTTGAAATTGGTTTCATTAATTCATATCACAGTTTAAGAACAAACTTGTAGAGAAAATTAAGCTATTAAAAGCGATTGAAAGGAATTTATATTAATAATTGGTTAAACAGAATTTGTATTAGCAAAATATTTGTAAAATTTCCAATAATTCAACTCATATTTGGAACAATTTATGTTCTGAAAAGAAAAAAATCGAGCTTGGCGATTTCTTATAAAACATTTAAGCAGAAATTACCGAAAGGCACTGGTTTGTAGCATAATTGAACACACGTGGAAGCACTATGTTAATTTCTGTAAAATCTTCGTTCCATATACTACTCTTGAGAAACTTTTATGTAATGATATTCTAGCTTAGAAAGGTTACAACCATTCTTGGAAATGTGTCAAGTTTTAATGCAATTTAGGCCAAACATCGCGTCGTCATACCCTCTTTCGTCGCCAATGTTTGCACGTTTGCCTGCCGCTTTTCTCCACGGAATATCGTCTTCAGCGATTTGCGTTCATACTGCATTGTAAATCAAGCAAGCGTACTTCAGATTTAAGTACTTTAAAGAATAATTTAAGGTATTTACCGCAAGTAATTACAATGCGTAAACCATTTATAGAATGATCGTAATATTTCCAATGTACATTGACAGTGGGGTACAAAGGTGACAACGAAGGTTGGAGTTTTTACACTCCCCCTCCCCCCATAGTCAATGAAAAACCTATTGAAAAAAAAAAAAAAAAGCTTTACTCTTTCGTATTAATGAAAGTAATGAAGTACGCGAATTCTTAATTTGACAATTCAATGTGAAATTAAATTGTATTCCATACCGAGAAGAACTTTGTAAGATAACCAAGGTGGCTGGACGCTATGGGAGCATTCGCTTTCTCTCAAAACACCGGGCATGTTAGTGGTATTAGGTTAACCGGAAGAAGTGGAGTTGAGAATCGAGTAATAAAGAAATTGGAACATCAAAATTTATTACTTTTGTTACTGGTACATTACATAAATTTAAAAAACATGCAGTTTAAACAGCTTTGAGCATTAAAAGTTTTAACAAGCGAGGAACATTATAGGAAATCTACTGTGCGTTGACGTTGGCGGAGCAGTAGTTGGCCGCGAAGGAGACGTCGCGCAGCAGCGCGTGGGTGTCCCGCAGGGCTCCGCGCGCCGCCGTGGCGGCCACGTGCGCGGGCGGGCAGCAGGCGGCACGGGGCGCGCTGCACAGGCAGAGCTCGGCCAGGCCGCACGCGGCCACAGCGGGCGCGCCCACGGCGGCGGCCGGCACGTCGCACAGGCAGAGGCGCGCGCCGCGGCACACGGCCCGGGCGCTGAACAGGCACGCGCCTGCCGGGAGCACGCACGTGCACAGGGCAACGTCGCGACAAGTCTGAAAGAATATAAGGTCGTAAATATAGCGTTTCAGATTTACTGTACACGGAATAAGTGGTAGAAAATTAACGAGGGGCGTCAGTAAGACGACATGGAAGTTCAGTAGACCAGTCACCGTAGGTTATTGAATAAAGAATTCGGAAATAAAAGGTAATTTTAATGAGCCCGCGACTGATGGGATAGTAGAACAAGAACAAAAAGTTAAACGGAAGAACGGAGTGAAAAAAATATACTGAGAAGAATATAAAGAACCGGAAATCTTCAAGCAGTTAGAAATTTCAAAGGAGGGGATAAGAAAAAAAGTCGCTGAAGAGGAACCTATGTAAAGCAGGAGTAAGATACACGACACCGGAAGGGCGATTTGCATGGCAAGTAAGTTCCGTAGCTCCAGGGACAGAAGAGTGGAAATTTACCGTTTGTCTACTGTAATAGATTGAGTATCTAAGAAAAGCAATGTTTAGTTTTTGAAGTAAATATGGACTCTGAAAATGTTTATGGATTGGACTAGCCACATGAGAATCAATAGAGGGAACTGGGAATCTGATTGAAATCTATGAAATTTAATAGAAAAATAACTGATCCTGACTGACGTTATTAATGTACTCCGTCCAAATACAAATCTTAACTTGGCTTAACAGAACTTTCGACACTGCGAAAACAAAGCATAACCCCACCTTCTGCGGCGTCTGCGCAATGCAGGGCAGCACTCGCTGGGCGAGGTCGAGCGCCTTGCACAGCAGCAGGTCGGCGACGTAGACGGGCGTGGCCAGCGCCCCGCGCAGCGGCCGCATCACCAGGCGCGCCGGCGCCGCCGCCACCAGCGCGGCCACCTCGGCCGCCGTCAGCGCGCATGCGACGCTCGCGTGCGACTCCTTGGCGCGCGCGTACAGCGCCGCGGCGGAGCGCACGGGCGGCAGCGCCAGCACGCGCCGCGGGAACTCCAGCGGCCGCCGGCACGAGCACGACGGCCCGCAGCGGCACGACGTGCACGGCTCCCGCACGCCCGTGCGCACGCCCTGGTCCTCGAGGGGCAGGCAGGCCGGGTAGGGCATGCTCACTCCGTTCAAGTCCATCGATAAGGATCTTCCCGAGGAAGAGGTATCCTTTGTAACAATGTCCGACATCGACGGAAAATAGGGCGGAACGCGCTGTGAAACCGTTTAAAGTCAACACGTTAAAGTCCTTTTTTAATGGTCTTAAACTTCAATTTCGTTGCAAATTTACTACCAGAAATAGTTCTTAGTATTGACAATCCTAATCACTCTCCTTGCAAGTTAAGAAATGAACCCCACATCTCGAAAAGAAAGTCAAGAAGTTTCCTGTAAATTGTAGACTTAAATATTAAATCACAAAAATAACGTCAAAAGGAGTACGAAACTAATTAATCACTCCAGCCACTTATAAACCAAGCCTATGAACTACCAATCTTACCTGTTTGCTTCTGATGTAATTAAGAGAAGAACCCGCTGCAAACTGATAAACCCTGTCAACCCTCCGCGCGATATATAAGGGGTTGACCACGTGCTCGCTAGCCTAAACTCGCACTGCCTGCTATTCATCGACGAATGAAAAGTGCAGTTCTTGTTTCAGTCTGTGAATTTTCTCTGGAATCGTCCGTTCCTATTACTGTGAATGTTTGAAAATTCCGTTTCGGGCTTTTCGTCCTTTGAGGGGTAACACAGGTGTTGCAGATTCAACACAAAGGTAAAATATTTATTGTTTTGAACATGCTGTTCTCTATAGAGCCATAATTTCTTTATTATGATTATGAAACATTTATTGCAAGCTCATAATTTAATACAGGAAGTGAAAATACATTCAAGAAATTCTAAAGATCGCCAAATTATTGTGAAGTTTTGCTTCTATTGATATTGATTTTTTAATTGTATGTAATCCGTAACAATATATTTTATTGAACATTTTAGGCTTCTGTTTTGAGATGGCTAATTAAATCTTTAAATTAAATTCAGAATACAGCGAATAGAACATATTTACGAGTACCTATTAATTCAACTATAAACTGAAATGATCTAAAAATTGTTTCTGTCCGATTTTTTGATGTTACTTCGATTTATTTGAAAGAAAAGTAGCTGACACATTTTTTACCTTTCAAAATAGCATGAAACTATAAAGAGGATTGAACACGCTAGAAAGTATCGTTATTCTACTGAATTGATGAAACTAATATCAGGTTGACATACTTTTCCTTATACATCTGACGTTAATTCATAAATATGTTCAACCAATCTGTTCTGAATGTTAATAAATTTTAACAATCAATATATCCGACAGACAATTGATTATTTCAATACCTAACTGTAACTCTGTTCTGAAATTGGAACTTTTATTCAAGCTAGGGATACAAATGAAATGCGATACTTCGATTTCGATTATTGAGAACAGACATAACTCACAATTCAATGTAATCTTCTTATAGCTTATCTCAGAGTACAGTATAATTTAAATGGAATAAATATTATTATTGCATCCTCTGACTAAAAAGCTTTTAATTACAATTTACTATGAGATAAAAACCTTTGAAGCGATGCGTGTTTAAGATTATTTTATAATGTAATTTACCATGTGCATTCAGCCATAATTACATTAAAATATTAGGTGAAACGTACTCTCAAAATAAGACCGCAGTTATAAGCGTTACTTACGTACGTTCTTATATGATTTTTGTCTTCAGCTTCAAATTTATTCACTCGAAGGATTCATGGGTTCGAACGGACTAATCAGACCTAATGAAATCTGCAATATCTTTTGTGCAAATTTCCAGAATAGCAACGCGTCATTTATCTATTACAACATTATTTACTTAAAGTAGTGTTTTCCTGATGACTTTGTTTTGATAAATATATTTAATATCAATATATGGTAAATATATTATTGATATACATCAACATTCAATAGTTTTAGATATAAGAAATACTTATTTAAGTATGCATGTACATAATATATTTAAAAACCTATCATTATTTTATTATCGATGTCAAAAGAACTTGGAATATTTCGAAATATTAGAAATCAATACATACACATAGTCACATTTTGCTGGGAATAGCAACGCAAGAATAAAAGTTTCGATACCCTTATTAAATATAAAATGTGTAAAGGTAAAAAATTCAAAACATATTATTGTGGATGCAGTGGATGATTTGAAATGGTTGAGTATGTGTTACCAAACAATGCACCTAAATTATATTTTATCTGATAGTAAATTATCGCTCTAGAAAAATGTATAAATAGTTTGGTACAAGGAATGAATGAATCCAAAGAAAACATTACCCAGAGGTTTGTTACTAAAATCTAATTGTAATGTCATATCAGTGAAAGCCAGTATTTTTCTCAATTTATTTTCTCTTGAGAATGAATTTCTAAAAGTATATTTAAAAAGTGTAAAAGTATCTAAAATCGATTTGTTGAACCCCTTAAATCGCAAATCGAAATATCTGTCTGGTATCATACCCCAGCTACACCCTATTTATTAAAAACATAATTTAAAAATATGAGATCAACTTTTATGTCTAGAATTCTTGTTTCCAGACAACACGAGCAAAAATCCTTGATTCATTTCTGCCAATTATGAACCTTCGTATATCTCATACTGGACGAAATGTGACAGTCTAATTTAGTCTGCCCTTGATGTCTTAAATATTCACGTCATTTATAGACAATCACTTCGGAATCACACTCCAAATTAGAAATAACATTTCCACACGGATGATTATATCTAGAAGCAACACTCATGTACCATCCAGGAAACATGATTCGTTTCGTTATTCTGACTGCGAGATACGTCAACGCATATTTCTTATAGATACAAAGCTTTCACCGGCCTCGGCCGCGCGTGCTTAGGTCTAACGATGCCATTTCTGCGCCCGAAGGAGGAAAGTCGCGAGAAATTCGGGGCCGCTTTCCTGAACAGTTCTTCGAAGCGCGAGCCGGCAAGTGGGAGTGTTCCTGTGCGAGGCAGCAGGCCTTGTTGGAAACCCCCTTCGTGTTTTTAATATTAGCTGGAGCACGATTTAAGTAAATGTCTGCGACACCTGGCTGAGGCAACGCATTCTCCTCTCCGAGTTTCCACCCCTTTTTTTCATTTCATTAACTCGAAATGCTGCCTCAAGAACAAGAGGCGTATTCAAGAAAGTTGCAGAGCATTGACCGTTTTGTGTTCAGTTGGAAATTAGGATGCGTTTTAATTATTTCGTGCTGAAGGAAACGTAATGAAACTGTTGTGTGAAATTTTACTTATCAAATGTTTTCGTGTTTTATACGTTGTGTTATTTGCGAATTTCAAATTACTATATTAAATCTCGTATATATTACAAGAAATTACAATATTGAATTCTTAGAACTGAATATTTTAGTACATTTAAATACACTAGGTATAAAAATAGTGCGCAACTGTGTGGTCTATTGTTTATATGAAATAAATTGTAAAATAATTAGAAATTACTGTGTTTTTTTAAAAAAAATACACACAAATTTACATAAAGAATTAACAAAATTCGTAATTATCTCATTACTTAATACCTGCAAAAGGTAGTGATTTCTTCTCTTAGTTATATTACGCCATTTTTATTTTTTAACAAAATAAAGTTAAGTTTGCAAGTAATATGGTAATATGCTGACTACAAAAATCCGAAGTAGAAAAATGCTGATTACTTCAACATTTTATTATTTAATGTTAAAAACATCAAACAGCAGTTCAATTTTTTTTAGTTTTTATAAATGGTACAAGAACAGGTAGAAAAATTGTTTCTTTACTTCTCTGTGAACTTAGATACGGATTAGAAAAATTGGTAAGTAGATGTAAGCGTTTGCGGGAGGGAGAACCCATCTGACCTTGAGATACTGAAGCAATATTATCTTTTACGTTCGCATTTGAAAGTAGTACACACTGATATAAAAACTTTGCTATATATCTTGTAGAGCATGACTGAATATTTTACGAATTTATGTTCAGAATACTAGTCTGGTCGGTTAGTAGAGTCAGCAGGGTTCCAATAGCGCAATCGTCGGAGTTAGAATTTGGTTGTAATTATGTTTATAGGCTGCGCCATGAAAAAACACAGTAACTACCATTGTTTTCAATTATGCGCTGAACGCACAATTGCATACAGGAACACTATGGGCTACAGCACAAACTCGCATCTCTAAAACAGACTGATTTTTGAATATCTGTAGTACGTTAAATTATTTGTCTAGCTTAAATCAGTACCTAAACTTTAGACCTAAGAAAGATATTAAATCCTCAAAGCCACTGTTTTTTTCCTATGAGGTTTGCTATGTTTTGGCTTGAAGCAGCGATTTGTTTGCTCATTAATTACGAGCATTTTTTTCCATTTGTTTATGAATTAGGCTCGTTCAAGTGATTTGAAACTACCTATTGATTATTCATATTTCTAAGGACAGTAAATATATTTTCCTTCTTAAAAGACACTCAAGTCTATGTAGATATTTTAACATTTTATTTGCAATATCTTCTATATTATCGTTTTTCAAAACTATTCTTAGAACTTTTACTTTAAGTAGAATTTTATGTGATAAATAAGGTTTTAATATATTGCAAATGTTCAAGTTGGTTTCATTTACAACTTCTGATGTTGAGCAGTATTTTAGTCAATAAAAGGTAATACTAAGACATGAAAAGTTTAATTTCACTTAAGAATATTTAAACAAAAGGTTTGTAAACCATTACTCTGTAAATAGATAATTATTTATCAGAAAATATTAAAAAACTTAGTAGAATAAAATACCGTTCACTGTATTTAAGGACACGATTAAGTCTTGATTCTTCAACTAATATTAACATGAAGAGCGTAGATAGTTCTAGTTATGTGACGTAAACATTTTATTGATAAATTAATTTCACTTTTTTAATCTTTCTTTTCAATTGTTAGTGCATATTTCACTCCATATTTTGAACATTTTTAATGCATATGAATGTATATATTTAGATGGATTCTACTTGTTGAGAATTACTCTCAAGTATTGCTTTAAACATAACAACTAATCGTGACAACAAAAACATCTCAATTCAAAATAGTTTGCGCTCATGCTACGAATTACTTGACACGGTATCCATTTTGAACAGATTGGCATTATAGTACCATTACTGTCCTGCACTTATAAGAAGTGGAGCATAAGGTTGTACCTTATGCGAAGGATATGTCGTTAGTTTATTTATTTATTTCCTTACGTAAAAAATAGTTAAAAACTGTGTATGACGTGCTATGGGGAGAAGTTAATTTGAAGTTACATTTATGTCCAGAAGCAAAACAAGGGGCCATCTCAGCATTTGCTAGAGGATCAGGGAAACTGGACGAAAACCTGATCGAGATGGGGGTCATTGGCTCAGAAGTAATAGAGTTTTAATAAATCAGGTAACTCGTAACTCAAGACGTTACAAACGTGCTACTACGCCCATTTTATTAGTTGTGCTTTTTTCTTAATTTTCTAGCCCATAGCCCAGCTAACATAAACTCTGATCATTGTAAAATTTAAAATATAAATGAACAGTTCAGACTGTGCCGTTTAGAAAAAGATGATCGTATCTAG